GTGCATGCGTGGGTGTGTCCAGCTGGTTTCTGTGTGCGTGTTCCTGTGTATTTACGAAAGTTTGCAAAGTAGACGAGGGTTAGTTTGACTTGCAAAGCAGCGTTTACTTGGAGACGAGCAGGTGAGTGCAGGTAAAGTTCCAGCATGAGGAACGTCAGCCGGAACACGACGGAACCCACCCATCTAAGGTTTCTGCAGAACTGAACTCTGCTCCTGTTCATTGTCACTCCTCTTTGCAGGATTTCCAGCTTTCCTGACTTCTCTCCTCGTCTCCTCTGGTGACTGACAGCCTTCGCCATGGGTGAAATGGAGCAACTGCGAAAGGAGGCCGACAGCCTCAAAGACCAGATCACAGTCAGTGAACTCACCTGTCTCACCTGCAGGAACTTTAACAGCGTCACCTGTTAAAGCCTCCTTACTAGTTATATTTACCAACCCTTAGTAATGTTCTAATTGTATTTACTAACTCTTCATAACGTTGTAGTTGTATTTACTAACCATTCGTACCGTTGCCACCCGTTAAAGCCTCCTCACTAGTTGTATTTAGCAACCCAGACACTGATAACCTACCAGTCCTCCCTCCGGTGTGCAGGCGGCCCGGAAGGCGGTGCAGGACTCCACCCTGCAGGAGGCAGCAGCCAGCATCACTGTGGTTGGTCGAGTCCAGCTGAAGACCAGGAAGACGCTCCGAGGTCACCTGGCCAAGATCTACGCCATGCACTGGTCCACCGACTCCAAGTAAACACTGAGAGATAGATAGATAGATAGATAGATAGATAGATAGATAGATAGATAGATAGATAGATAGATAGATAGATAGATAGATAGATAGACAGATGTTATGGTTTTTGTAGGCATTTGATTTTATTTCACATCACGTATATTCTTTAGGTCTATTTTATAATTCTTAAATGTATTTGCATATATTCCAAAAATATGGAAAAACTGAAATAAAAGTGAGAAATGTTGTTGAATGACAGACTTTCTTTACACTGCCTGTCAGTCACTGGTTGGTGTGTTGCTCCACCAGGTTGTGTGTCAGCGCGTCGCAGGATGGAAAACTGATCGTGTGGGACAGTATCACGACCAACAAGGTAGGAAACACAACAACAACAACTCCAAATCTGGAGCAATAAATATTATCACCATACAAACAACACATTTATTAATAGATATCAGATCCAGTTCATTGTCATGTTGCTGTACATCCACAGCAGCACAAACAGGATGAGAGAACGTTTCAGGATCCAAAAACTAAAAGCAAATAAATAAACAAGTGTTTGCACATCTGGATCAGCAGCTCAGCGTTCTGACAGCTGGTGGCATGAAGCTGTTGGTCAGTCTGGAGGTTCT